GGCCCTATGCAACATGAAATGACTTACCTGTTTACTGAACAGTGACAGAAAAACACATCCAGACCATGCACTCAGCAGACACTGACCCAGTACAGAAAGGTCTCATGAGCCAAGGTGCTTTAATCAAGCTTCACAAGCCCTATGTGTGCAAAACTGCACCTGGCACCCTGCTACTCAGCAGTGTTAACCTAGACTACTAACAATACAGTTTTTAAATTTCATTCTTATGTACAATTACATTTCTGCAAAGATTTCATGGGACTAGAATCATACTGGCTAGTGGAATCGTAGTGTTCTAATAGAACAATAAAAAAAAAACAACAAATAACCCAGATTTAATTAGATAAATACAATATTATAGAAATAGTACAAAAAGCCTTTAAATAAATCAGTCTTAGTGCGATACAATGAGAAACTTACATTTCAAAATGATTTGAGGTATTGCACAATGAGGAGGTAAATGAGTTTCTGTGCTTGATGGGTTATCAAATGCATTGTTTGACAAAAACAAAACAACATAAACACGTAACCTGATGACCCAAATGTCTCTCAGTATATTTTTATGCTATAGCTCCAAAGATTAAGATACTAATATTACTGACCTGATAGCAGCAGGATGACCAGCAAACTGGTTTCTTCCATTCTTGGTTTAATAGAAAGATTAATGATAGATAACATACCTGACAACCTGTATTTTCATTTGTTGAGTGAAACTGACTTTTAAAGAGGTCTTTGTTTGCACTTTTCATAAATTTTACTGTCAAATAAGAAAACCCGGAGGTAGGAGTTATGGTAATAAATGTCTTTCATGGATGTTAGTAAATCATATTAATAGACTCATTTAATTGTGCTAATCCTTTTAATATGCATTTATCTAAACTCTTGCATTTATGAGGGGAAAGAAAATGTACTGACAGTGACATCTCTTCATTCTTCATGTATTGGCTTCCCTTTATTGGCTGCCTTTTAAATCCTCCCCCTCATATACAAGGTCTTCAATAATGAGGTCTGGATTTAATCACGAATTATTATTAATCTCTGGCTTGATTTCACAGCATATCTTTTGTTCTGTCTTCCTCCTCTTATCCTAACTGGTCACATATGGCTGCCCCTCCCTACACCTTGTTCTTGGCTTCTTCTTGTTGGTTCCTTTTCACCATCGCCAGGGGTCATATGATTGGTCATATGATTGTCGAGACTCTTCTGTATTATTGTATGGTCTTTACCTCGCAAGATAAAACAGCCTGAGGCAACTTTTGTTGTGTGTTAGGCATCACTCTCTGGAAATTCATGACTTTCGCTTTTGCCACTCCCATACAGCTTTGACTGGTGAAGAAACTATGCAATAGTCCTTGTGTTGTATGTACAGTCTCTGAAATCTGAGCCACTGAAACTTTTGACTCCTTCTTAAAGGTCACAGATATCTTGGTGGCCTATCCCGATAATTTACCTCCTGCCCAGACCCTCAGTTTGTGAGCACAATTAGCTACTCATTCTCACCAATAGGGATGAGAAGGATGACTTGCCCATCACTAGGGGAGAAGCCACGAAGGTAGTTAAACAACTTCTTTGTAGCCAGACACCTGGAATACACGAGGTTTGTCTTAAGTTTCTAAAGGCTCAGGATGGTGTATGATTGTCCTGGCTGTCCTCTGCAATATTGCTTGGTGATCAGGGGCAGTACCTTTGGAAAGGCAGAAGGGGTGTTGATCCCCATCATTACGAAAGGGGACCAGAAGGTGTGCTAAACATTATGTCCAGAGGAAAGCTGACTCATCCATTGTAAAGTTTATACCATTCAAATGTTTATGCATGTTTCTTTGAAAACTAAAATGCTATAAATGATATGTCCCAAGACTTAAAGAAAAATAACTACGGTTACTAAAAGGTGACTCTCCCTCACCAAAATGCATATCATTAGGAAAATCAAGTTATTAAAATAAGAAACAAATGCAGCTAAGATCATTCGAGGTTCTGGGAACAGGTAAAATAGCATTTCATAATGTTTATGATTCAAAAGCGGGGCCTCTCCCAGAACTGATTAAAGTTGGATTTTTGTTCATGTGACCATACCTATGTTTCTTAAAAAACTAAAATTCTGTGAATCATATGTCTCAGGGCTTAAAGAAACATAGGTAAGGTTACCAGAAGGTGACTCACTTCACCAACATGCATATGATTAGGAAAATCAACTTATTAAAATAGAAAATAAATGTAAATAGGCTTCTATAGGGTTCCAGGACCAGACAACATACAATGCCTATAAAAAGTATTCACCCCCTTGAATGTTTAATGTTTATTGCTTTATTAAATGAAATCATGGTCGTTATAAATTAGCTTTTTTTAAATAGACATATTAACTAAAAAGCTTCTTTCATGTCAAAGTAAAAACAGAGATTTAGAAGATAATATCTATAAATTAAAAATGTTTAATGTAAAATAAGCAGCTGGAAAAATATTCACCCCATTCAGGCTGCAATCACAGCACTTTGTCATGATGCATCTGTGGCGGCCCTGGGGCGCGGTGCCTGCCTGTCTGTGGTCACCTGATCTTCATGCCCGTTCTCATCATGGCTGAATACACCAACCATATTTAAGGCATGGTTGGAATGGTGTTCCTTGCTGGAGCAATTTTAGTGTATTATTAGTGTTAGTGCTGCGTGGCCTAGTCTCTTGTTGACCTCCCTGTGTTCCTGGGTGTATTTTCTTACATCTGTTTTCGTCTCCCTTGTACAGATTTCCTTGGACCTAAACCTGTCTTCCCTGGAGCCTTCACTGTTGAGCGTGAGTGAGAGAGAGAGCACGGTGTGGACTTGGTGATCTTGACTGTACATAGTGGATTGTAAGCAAGAGTTCCCTTTTTCCCTGCCCTGGACCAACCCTTGGAATCCCTGGACCCCTCTTCTCTCTGCCCCACTGTATATACTGTATGTACACATCACTGGTGTTGTAATTAAACCAACTTGATTTGACTGCACAGTTCAGAGTGCTTTTTTTGAGTCCCACACCAGCCAATGTGACACACTTGGTCTGTGCAGATATGTATTAATGAGGTAGTGATTGGTGTTTGGACCTCTGGGTCTGATTTGGTTTGCCCTGAGTTCCTAAAGGCTTGGGATGTTGCAGGGTTGTACTGGTTGACACGTCTCTGGAACACTGTGGTCATCAGAGACCATAACTTTGGATAGGCAGACTGTGGTGTTGAGGGACTGGAGCGTGTCCTTCAGTTACATGGGGATCACACATGGAGT